ACCATCGCCCATGGAACGAGCCATACAAACACAGCATAATTACGTGTTATAATCATAAAACTCCACAGAGGGTGGTCCTGAATAACAAATTAATTAAGTAATTCAACGAAATAATTATCAACTACTATGATTCTTTCGCGGTCTCAGTTCTGCTTCTGTCGTGTCCGATGGATTTTTTGAGTTTCTGAATTTGCATGAAAATAAGATGCGATAATTTGATTGATTTTATCGATTTTTGATTGATTTTCGGCAGTAGATGAGTGGCATTTGATGATTTATTTTTAGCATATGGGTATTGTTAATCAGGTTTTATTATGAATAAATTAATGAAATTCTAGTCATGAATCCTGTGATTCCCTGACAATTTCATTAATGAGTTGAGCATTTTCCTATAATTTTATGCGGTGATGTGGCAATTTGTTGAATAAAATTAAACTTTTATTCCTGGTTATTAAGTTAATTTACCGGTTACAGCTCCTCTACTTGACCCCTCATTTAATTTATTCCATTGATAAGAGCTTCTTCCCCCACGTCCTGAATATTTTCATTGATTTTTGCCGTATAATTTACGAGATATTAACTATCACAGTTATGCAGTCCTTATGTGACGGTCATAAAACCTCAAAACGTAACCTCAAATGAGTTTTTTACGAGAAAACTAACTAATTAACCGATCCAAGAAAAGGTGCCGTAATAAAAATCAATTCGCCGCCTATATTCTCTCGGCGAGCGAGTCCACTCTTTCTGATAAATTTGCAAAGAAATTTATCATTTTTTGAAGCTCATCTGGCATTATTGCATATCAATATTTTCAAGACAATAAAAGTTCTCTCTTGATACTCTTAATGGAAATTGAGTTGAGATATCTTGGAAGAAAATGAAAGGGACGCAATCCCCCGACGGATCGAACTGCTGCTCGTCTCGAGGGGTTGCAACCCCTTTTATTATCCAAAAGCGTAATTTTCATACATAGACCCCAAGGTGTACAGCAGATTGGAGGAAAGCTACAGCTGTTATTTCCCTCTCTCTGTCTCCAGACTTGCGTGATGGACGTAAGAGAGTGGACGTAGGTCAGTGACGTAGGTAGGTGAGTTATGCAGTGTCACTGTCTGTGTCACTATCTGTATCACACTTAAAAAACAAACTCAACGTCAATTATCATTTAAAAATGGTAAATTACAAAACTGATAAGCCTCACTTACGAAATTCAAACTCGTAAATTACGAGATTAAAAAATTTAACATGAGATTAAGAGGGTGAGGCCTCTCAAGATACCAGATAAAATACATTATAAATTACGTTCCCACTCTATTTGCAAAAAAAAAAAATTGAATCTTCATGGAGAATTGACTGCATTGTTAGAAAATTACGCTTGTAATATCTGACGAATAAAATTAGTAAAACTGCAATACGATGGAATGACAAGAAGATGTACCGACAATAAAAATGAAAAATTATCAGCAATGCACAGTTTTTTTCTAAATAGTTGTTTGCCATCCACATCACGAAAAGAACTATCTCTGAATTGAGAAATAAGTTGCTTTATCCCCAAAGTTTTCGGTAGGGGCTTGAGCCGACACGTAAAGCACATTACCTACTTCAGCATCTTCAAATTTATATGCCCGATGTTCTCAACAAATTTCAGACGGTAGTGAAAAATTTAACGAAATCTGATAAGAATCGAGGGACGAGAGGTAAGCCTCGCTCCTTTTTTTTTCTCGCGACACAAAGACGGAATAAAAGAGGGACGCACCCGTGGGAATTGCGTATTTGGAAGTGACTTTGCAGGCTCTCTTAAATCTCCAACTCAAGAACGTGGAAAACGAGGGAAAGGGAGAGAAAAATTTTTTTTTCAAACGCATTTGTGACTCCTGAAATTATCAGCGCACAGCGAGACGCTCTCAAGTTGTCGAAAACCGAGATTATGTACAAAGTCTTGTTCTGGCTGCAAGTATGAGTATAGCTTTAGGTATTTGGGTGAGCATTTCTGTGCCGAGGAGAGAAGAAGCATGCACTGATTGTAGAAGTAAAAAGACCATAGTGTACAGACCAAGATGAGGACAAGAGGTAAGAAGAAGTGGAACAAATAAGAGTAAAGCAATGAAAAAAAAAACAGCTGGATACATCCATATATATCCATTCTGTATAGCCATTGTTGCGAATAGAAACATGACGATCATTACTTAGTGCCTTGACAATTTTCCATTGGTAACGTCACCAAAAATCTCTGAAATAGCTTTTTCCCATAATTTCACAATTATTCTCAATTACACACAATAAATATTGTGTACAGCTTTCTCAGCATCAAACCGAAAATCGTAAAATCATCAATTAATCCTCCATTTGAAAGGTAAAAAAAGGAAGAAAGAGGAAGGATGAGGAATGGACCTAGACGAGTGAAGTCGATGTAAAAGTGGAATAAGGGGGATTCCAGGGGATTCGGCCACATAGCGGTCGTCAAGAGAAGCTTCCCCAAGGAGGAAGTGAGAAACGTCCCCCGACAATTCCAGTTGGTCTAGACGCAGAGGAAACTATGCCCATATCTTCTTATTCTAATACGACTGCGAGTAAGGAGAGAGTGAAATGGAACGGCTCGTTGAGGAAGACCTACGCACAGAAAGAGATACGTACACCAGAGATACCTAGGCAGGAGAGAAAAGCTAGAAAAGGAAGTTGGAGATAGACAGTGAAATGGTGGAAGAGGAAAGGAGATGATGAGCTAGTATTGGGCATTGCACACACCTGTGTCTTACAACTCTGCGTACGAAATTCGTGTAATTCTGTGTGAGACCCAACGCGGCGCCACCTGCAAGGTTCGCCTATTTGATTGAGCCCTATTTATTGACTCTACCTTGTGTTGAGGAATTTTCGCAGAAATATCCAAGTCAGAAATAAAAAATTTGGCCTAGAGGTATAAGAGCCATTTGCCAAGAAGGAAAAGGAGAACTATCTCAAATTTCAGCTGGAAAGGCATTCGCAGTGCAGGGCCGCAGAAATATCGACGGAATAATGCAAGCATTTGGTTCTAGCACCTGCAGAAAAAATATATCCACGAATATATTCCACATATCGCGTGTGACACTTTTTTTTATATGTTTATCACATTTTTCACGCAAAGGTCGTTCACACAAAAAATCTGAACGTGAAGTATGGGTTTAGCCTTGTCACTCGCAGTTTTAGTCTCGGAATACGTTGCGAATTTGTAATCATATACGAAGATAAATGTTAAATGAAAATTATATGTTTTTTGTAATTTCAAAGCAAAATAGAGTTGAGGTCGAGTAAATTAATCTGCAAAAGTCAATTAATTGAGTGGAATGAATTTTTTTCTCAGTGTTTTCCGGGCATTTTGAATATCGTTCACTGTTCTCAATGTATTTTGAGAGCTTCGAGTGATTCACATCGTGTACTGTCAGTCTAATTGATGCTGTCAATATCCGCGACAAGTACCCAAAAAGCGGTTCCACATTTAGCGAGTTCATGCACCGCTACTCAATAATCCGAATTATTTTTAGAAGACAAGTTGGATCAGGTGCTACCAGAATTATATAAAAACTGTTGTGAATTTTCCCGCAGGATGTTTTTGCGTAATGTATGTATCGTAATTTTAATCCCGGGTTCACTGATCTCGACCAGTGACCGCCGGAGAGAATAATGCGTAACAACTACAAACATAACATATCGATTTTGAGGTGTCCCTGTATTTTACCTCAAAATGAGAACACTCTCTGACTTCTACTACTGCGAGTTCTCGTATACCAGTTTTATAAATTCTTCCCTCGACCTCGTGAATTTTCTATTCTTCCTAGAAACCTCTCGCAAATCGCGTGACCGTTTATACTTTTGTTTTCATTCTTCAATAATTCTTTTCCTTCGATACTCAAGGGTCTCTTTCAAAACAATAATACCGTGTTATTTCATCATGAAACGGTTTTTGAGAAATTAAAAAAAAAAAACCAGCAAAACAAAAATGAAAGCCTATTACCCCGTTTATGACGTAACAAGTATCGCATGCACGTCTTGACCTTTCGCACACTGAATAAATACGCCTGCGCACTATCCCCCAGTTTTTTTTTTTCTTCCCCTTGGAGATGTGATGAAGATGCGTCTCCCTATGTAGAGAAAGCCCCATCAGACCCCTCTCTCATATAAACACACGCTTGGCCTCTTTTTCACTTTTTTCTTTTTCGCCGCTCTTTTACTCTTTCTCCAAGCTTCATGTCGCCCCTACCGACTTCACTTGTGCAACCGCCCGATTACGCGTGATTACGTTCATTGGTCATTAAACCGGGACCCGTGACACTTGCATATTCTCGTTGACGTGATATGCCGTGGACTATGCCGAAAAAAAACTAAGTCGATAATTGCATATATTTCCCGTCTGTACAGCTATTGTTGCTAATAAACTAGCGATTCCAAATAGATACTCATTTCTCTCATTCTTATTATCATAATCTGAATTAAATGACGAGCGTTTTGTCGATATCATAAAACATTGCTATGATATCGACATGATAACGACTGAATACGCGAGTACAAAATACATTACAATTCAGGGCTTCAATTCACAAGCAATAAACATTTATTTATAGTTTTTGCGTCTCGAGGTGAGTGTAGTAGCTCTGAAGAGTTTTCGCTGAGAGAAGGAAACCGTAGAAATGCCTTGGGGCGTCGGAGAGGCCAGAAACGCCCTCAAGGAGTAACCGGCCCGATTGCCAATGTCTGGCCCTGTAATTAGGTTTACGTTGTCGGTAATATCATTACCTGGTAAACATGTAATTCTCCCCACTATTCGTCCCCGCATGCCACATCATTTAGGTTTCTGCTGGAGGGCAATTGTGCCCTCCATCCCCATTGTTGTTGAAACCAACTGCCACTACAAGGGCAGATCAATATCGCATAATATATTGGAAAAATCAATCTAATCGATTCTCATTTTTACGTTGAACGTGCAAATAAAAAAAAATTAAAAATTGATCTCTCTGTTTTTTATTTTGCAGTGGTGTTGCGATATCGTGTGGCGAATGCAGCAGCAGTGGTACGAGTGATATCACTGAGCCAGGATCACCCTGCAGCACGAGTAGTGACGAAGGAGTTGCAATAGGGGGAACAACAGTCAGTAGTTCACTGCCATCGTTGCCCAAACTGGCACCAACAACATCATCTATGCACAATGGGACCAGGCCCCAGTGGCCATGGACCCCACCACTAGCTACAACAGCCTGTTCAACATATAAGACACACAAGGGAGAACCGGAAGTTGGCACACTGCCAAGGATTGGCGCTGCTGATCCTGCTGCCAGGCCTGGAAAGACAACACAATTGGCAAAACAACAGAATTATCACGAACATCAGGGAAAAATTACAGAGTATTTCAAGACGCAGATAAAACCTCAACAGTTGAAGACTAAAAAAACAACGGGCGAAATGTCTGTTATGGTAGCGAAGAATTCCGAGTTTCGTCGACCTCCGACTGTGCAGAGAAATAAGGGAGGCCTAGCAAAGTACCTGGGTGTAGTAACACCAAATGGAAGAATCGATCACGACTGGGAAGTAAGAACAATGACAGTCTCACCATCACTTGCCAAGAAACTACCAACAGCATCGCCACGAGTGAGCGTTACAAAGTTGGACAAAAAGCTCATATCCAAAGCAATACCAGGTTTTCCAATACCAAGCGAAGTGCTATCGAGTATTCCCAGCTGCAAGATATCATCACTGAGATTAACGAGTGAAGCAAGTCCAAATGCCAGTGGGGGCTCACCGCCATCGACACCCACGTCAAATCGTCCAATTCAGACTGAGCCTGTAGCATCGATTGAGTTCGAGGGAACAGCAAAGCCTATTGTCAATGAGAATAACAATGTAACGATTTGTAGTGGAAATCATATGAACAGTAAGGAGCATCCGCTCTCGTGGATGGTCAATGGATTGTTGGAGAATAGAGAGGAGGAAAAGCCGAGGACAACTTCTAGGGTTGATGAGGATGAGGAGGAGGAGGAGGAGGACTCATCGAGAAGTAGCGAGTCAAAACCATCGACGAGGAGTAGTGAATCTAGTTCGCCAATACTATCAGCACCTACTACCATCAGGTTTCCTGCCAGGGTACCAGCTAAAAGTAATAGTCAAACCAATGACAGTGGGATATGTCGGTGGGATAAGTGCAATGCTAATTTCGAATGCAGTGGACTACTCCTCGAACACTTGCAGGTATATTCATTTGACATTGGCATAATTACCATAATTCTGTAAAAGAGAGAGAACAATGAGAGTTTAAAAGGGGAATTGAGGTCAACTCGTAGCCTTCGCGATGATTAGTAATCTGATTCAAGAAGTGCTATTCATGATATCCTATCGAAAAATAGAAGATGAGATGGGCGAAAATATAAAAGAAAAATGTTCTTAAAATATGCGAATTTTTGCGTGGAATTACCATTCTGCGAATGCAATTTTTATTTATTAATTCTCTTTTTTAAAAAAAACTTTCGACTTATACTTTTGGTGTTAAAATGGAATTGAGACAGGAAGAAATAGTAATGCACGAAATAATTCCAGGTTGCCCACATCAACACGCAAACTGGTGGTGACAATTTTGTATGTTACTGGCAAGGATGTAAAGTTAAAGGAAGGACCTCATGCTCACGAAGATGGCTGGAACGACATGTGCTATCCCACGGAGGAAATAAACCATTCAGATGTATAGTCGACGGTTGCGGCAGTCGATTCAGTTCACAGGTATGAAAGGCGTTATTTCCAATAATAATGAAGTGCAACATCTTCCGTGCTGTCCAAAGAGATAAGATAGTTGTGGGTCTTGTGTATTTATTGCCTGAGAATATCAAAAAATATTCATTCTTAGAATGGAATTTTTTCATCAATTTCTCTTGTCATGTGTATTGAAAATTTTTAATGAGAGATGTATTTCTTCAAAGAAATTTCTCACTCAAGATTGCCAGTGACCACTTCCTTGGAAGGTCTCAAGGACTAATGATCATCTGGAATCACTCATCAGAGATAATTTATCTCACTTTATTCATATCGTTTCCATAAAATATTATTCTTTTCGTAATTTCGTCTGAACGTTGACTTTCTTCAACGTACTCTCATCATTTGTGTATCAAGGATTTTTATATGTCTTTTCGAAACCATAATCAATTGGAAAAATCATATCATGGACAGAGTAAATGAACAGTGACCGCATATTGTCAGGTCATAATCGACGAATAAATGTTGCAGATGTATACTGGTTTTGGATTTGTATTCTCCAAAATGATTCTCGTTCTTACTCGCTTGTCTCTGTTTACCGCATCAAAATGAGACTGAAAATGGCTGAATTCCGATTATCCGTGATCGATTAGCCTGGGTCAAGTAATTATCTGTTCTTACGGTCTCCAAAGTCTGTTGTCATCGACGTAATCACTCTATGAATAATACTCGTTGTCTCACGAAATCGTTTGTTGTAATCGCCAATTCTAACATAATTGTTGTCTTTCCCTCCTCATCGATGAGTATAGCGTAATCCGAAGGGAAAATCTCGGCGAATTGTGATTATTCTATTATCGTTTATCCCTTAATGTCATTGGGTAATGTATTTTCATTTCCAACGATGAGGCAATCTGGCTTATTTTGATTCCCCGAAAAATATCCAAAATGTTGTTGCTTAATCATTCTTTTTTTTCTCGTACACTTTGTGCATTGAATTGCATAAGTCGACGTTTGTGGAATATTTTCGAGCAATTAATAAATACAGCACTTGAAGGTGCATTTCAGCGACAGCCAATTTCAGTTCTTCGTCGTTGATTCAAAATAAAAAATAAAATGCTTCAATTCTTTTCCTCTGTAATCGTCTAATCATGGGACGTCTGCGTCACACTCTCTCTCTCTCGTTGTTTCCCATTTTGATTAAATTATGAAATTAAATTGTTTAGCCACGTGGATTTTAATGAAGTGGCTCTCCTGGAAGGCGCCTGAGAATTTAATCTAATTTAAAAAAATAACTTTGATTTTCAGCCTGCGTTAGAGAGGCACGTAAATAGTCACTTCAATCAACCGGAGACGAGTACAAGTAGCAGCAGGAGGAGTTGTGAGAATGGTGGTAAACTAGTACGGAGAAATGGAAAGAAATTAAGATATAGGAGACAACCGTGGTCTGCCAGGCTGTTTGATTATTTCGACACTGGGGTAATGGAGGGTCTTCAACACAGACTTCTGGAGCTCGCGAAAACCAGGACTCAGGGCCTGTTGGCAGAAACACCGGGGAATTCAATGACCTTAACTAGTCAAGTAAGTATTATAAGATTAAGCCTCTCTCTAAGGTAGATATCCTAGCATACGACACTATCCAAATGATTAAATATAATCATGCAACTTAACCTCAAAGCAGTCAATAGCGATTTAGGTTTTGGAACATGAAAGGTTTAGCCACTGTGACATCTACCTTATGTCTCCTTCACAAGGCTTTTAATCATACTGTTTCTTCTCTGTTTTACTTTCATCAACCAAGAATGACAGAGAGTTAACTGTTATTATCTTATGTCTCCCCACAGGTTTTAGCCAGAAGAGTGGAGAAAGATGGGAAAGCCAAGGTGCTGGTACGATGGTATCCGCAAGACATGTAAGTTAATTGCTTAAGTTAATTTGTTCTTCTTCTCTCGTAAGAGAAAATATTATTGATTCCAAATTAACGTTCCTTTCGATGGGTTTTTGCCATTAGTTTGGTATTCAAATGAAATTCCAACGGTTGCATCAAATTAATTCCAATGGAAGGTTGAGAAAAAATATTCGCAATCTAATATTTATCGTACATTAAGAAAACATTTTTTTGCTCAGTACGTTGCTACTTGTATCCAGAAACTCGTCCCTCGAACACTCACGAGACGTAAATATTTGCCGATACGAAAGAAAAAAAATATCAAGAAATTTTCTACTTGTTCAAATATTGGCAATTATCTAGTTATTTTCAAACATTCCACGAATTGCTAATTCTTGAGATTTATTGATGACTATTATGAATGTTGCAGTGAGCCGGACGAGTGGCTATTGGAATCAGAAGTACAAAGCACGAAGCACATACGAATACGAAAAGCCGCAACTACCTCAATCGATGAGGTAAGCCTGGTATTGTACCCCGCAATTCACGGAGGTCCACCACCAACGACACGAGTGAAACAACGTCGAAAGCCCGTGAAAAATTCGTGATAATGTAGCCAGAAGGAGAAATATATAACAAACAATCCCACTTAACGTTCCTTTTATCATCGAACAATGGGACACGAACAAAGATTACGAAGGAGGAATGACCTAGGAAATTAGAGCCACTGCCAGAAAACTATTTTTCAATGGAGAGAATGATCTAAGATCTTATCGGCTGATCAAGAAAGTTGACATCGTTGGAGGAGAAAAATTCAGACTGAAGAGGATTCGTCGCTCGCCTCGCTATTGAGTTCAATATTTTCAATAGATCTACTTGTAAAAGACCTGTCGCGAGGTGCAGGGTGTATCAACATGTATCAGGTACATTATAAAAGACACATTTTATTATGTAATTGGTACAGATGATGATAATTCCCATTGTCTGTGATTCATTTCTCAAAAGAGTCTAACAGTGCCAGGTTTGATCCAAAAAAGTGCCTCACCCCTTGGAATGTAGCAATTGCTGGCTTGGCATCAAATCAATGCAGAGAATTCAAATGTCTGGACAAAACTCATGGAAATGATAAAAAAAATTGTATAAAGTAATCACGCCTAAATTGGAAAGGGAATTTCATAATGATCTGTTTGAGATCAAAATCAATGAATTATTTTTAATGTTAAGTATTAGCTAACGATTATGCAGAACAAATTAAAATTAAAGTAATGAGAAATAATAGGAGCACAAAAAGTCATAATCACTCTGGTGGCCTTATGAACAAATCGTTTTTTCGAACTTTGATCCCTGGCGCTGATAAACACTCGTGTAATTCATTCTGCTGATCGTTTCAATTTATTAGAAAAACAAATTGAAATAATCTCTAGAAGGATTCACATTGCCTAGAGAAATGGATAGAAATATATTCATGAAGCGATATTATGTGAATTCGACGAGAGGTGGATGGTAGTACAATTTTTTCAAATCCACTGAGTATGAAATTTCAGCTAAAATCAACAGGTTTTCACTGTTTTACATATGATTCTAAGTCTTTCGCTCTCTTAAGTGATTCGTTTAACAATAAGCCTGAGTACAGCATAATAATGAATTCAGAATAATTACTTTGAATTTTCAATTAATTTTTATATCAGCTTTGAGCTGTTCTAATACTAAATTGACTGTAGATTAAATTTCTTTATTGCTCAATGTAGCTTTTTCATTTTTTTGTTGATCAACTTATTGATTCGTCAACGTACTGAAATTTTTATAATACGTCAAAATTCGTTAATTGTGTCAATCGGATTGGTAAATTTATTCTTAAATTGATAATACTTTGATGAACAAACGAAGCATGTGATTTTCGCTGTACGAATTCAACTACTGATGAGCTGATACCCATTAACAGTGGGTAAAATTATGAAGGCTGTGTTTACATTTTCCACACCTCGCGATGAGGTATCTAACAAATACCAAATGAACAATAATTGTTCTGTGGGGAAATAATGTAGAGAGAAAACATAGAAAAAAACATAAAAATAAAATAAAAAGAAAGAAACAATGAAAGAGAGGAAAACGGAATGGATAAATGGAAGATAGAATGATGAAGTGTATACATTTATAGTTGATAGAGAATTATTTGTAAATTATGGTAAAGTACGACTAGAGATGAGATTGTAAGAGCTAGGTTGAAGTGGGTTTATCGAGCGTCGAGGATTGTAATTAGAGTAAGATATTGACGATACGAAAACACACAGACACAAGCACACCAGCTGTGTTACACTGCCAATACGTGTATTTAAGAGTAGGTTAATTGAATAATTGAGTAATAAATTGTGTGGACCGATCGTGTAATCGTGTAGATCTCCGACCGCATCAGGTGGCACTTAACATTTGTCGTACGATTTTTAATAATAGTGTCGACTTAACGGCAACTGCTCCCAAAACTGACTAAATGAAGAAAAAAATTATAAGTTTTTTGTATTAAATAGATTAGCGGATAAGCATAAATGAACGTACGACAAATGCATGTTTCTCCTTGTGGTAATTATTTTCTGTAAATAATTAGGTGAAATTATCATTCGAATTATATGCGTACGTCGAAACCATGTTTCAGGAGTAATTCACGTCTAAAGGATACGTGATCCCCGACTCTTGTGGAGTCCAATTTTTCTAACAATTTTTTCATTTCGTATTGTTTTTCATTTTCTTTTTTCTACGGTTTAGTCTCGTGCGAAAATTAGTAGTCTTTTTCTATGAAATGATACGCACAAAGGGAGACCCCACTTCATTCTCATTGTTGGAATGATCGGGTTAAAGGGTTAAAGGACACTGCCAAAAAAAAACTGCCCGTATTTCTCTTCTTATTTTTCTCTCATCACAATGTTAGTCTGAATTTTTTTCATTTTTTTTTTTTGGCACTGCTACACTCAAAAATTATGCTGCCATTTATTGCGATATTACGCGTCAATTTATCATTAGAATTGTAAACAAGAATATTCCACTGCCACTGGATGTTAAAGACCGTTTCAGACGGCAGATCAAATTCAAATTTGTGTTCACTATAATGAGATCAATTCTTCGATGTTCTCATCTCGAAATTATTTTCATTTCTTTTTTGTTTTCTTAATTTAAAGGCATCAGCGAGAAAGGGTCGCACCTTCACTGATCGGTAGGAATTTCTCGATCGACTCATTAGAAAAAATTTGTTTCGTGGCTCAATCGGTTGCCGATCACATTTTAATTCGAAAATTTTTTGTCAAATAAAAAGTTAAAAAGTTACTGGGAGAATTTATTTTTACCAAACAATTTCGACGATGGGACCAATTTCATATTAAAAATACACATCAAGCATTCTATTTCTCTCGACTTATGCAATAATGACTGTTTACTCATTCATTCTCAGTATAATTCTATGTAATTAGCTATCGGTAGCTAGATTATGCTTGATCTCTAGAAAATTAATATTTGAGCGATCTAAATAAAGAATTAAACCAATTGTTGTGGCCTACAGACTGACGATGAAGAAATGTGAAAAATTAGTGATTAAATGTTTAACTTTAAGATTCAATTTTCCATCAATCGTGTTGCGTTTAACATTGAATCCCACCTGAGGTATTAGAATTTAAGGTGCTCATTAATTTTTTTTTCGTTCTTAGAAGACTGCTGGGCTTAATTGTCACGCCATAAATTTTTTTAGCTCATAAATGGTGATTAAAAAAACATTGATTTTGATGACTGATGAAAATATAAGGAAATTTTCGTGACAAAAGATCAGATGCGGCCCTTTCTCAATAATTGTCCATTTTCTATTTTGTTTTTTCATGATAGAAAATTTTATAAAGATGTTTATAAATATATCCTTTTAGAATGGCACTATTAGTTACGTGCGATTTCCTCTGGTATTTAAAATAAATATACGTTGTATAATATTGCTGAATACAAAATTAAAATATTTTTTAGGATTAGGCCGAGAGTATAGGTTATCGATATACTGAATAAAAAAAAATGGCTATCACTGCCAGTGATGGATAAATACTGTAATGTTCATTTTTTTTATTAGTTTTCTTTAAGAGATCGAGGGGTTTGATGTGACTCGTCAGTATGCGTGAATTTATATCCGGAGTGATTTATATTTGTTTCTCCATAGAAAAAATATCATAAATAGAACACTAGCTTCGATACATTTTGCTAGAAAATTTTTTAAAGAAAAGAATTATGTAAATAAATAAAACCCGAAATGATTGAAAAATGATAAATTGTGCACACAAGTAATAAAGACGAAGAATATATCGGAAAGAAAATAAAAGCCAGAAATGTATAAAAGCATTCCTATTTTTTCAGAAATTACAGATAATGGAAGACAAAAAAATTGAACAAAATTAATGGATGAACTATTGCAGGTTCCGAGTGAGATATTTCGATGCAATTACCAGACTGATGATGTCTTTTAGTCTTTTTCACCACAAACTACTTGGCATTTTTTTTCTTCAATTTTTGGACGTGTCAGCAAAGGGTTTTGATCTACTCCATTATTTAGTTTCGATTACTCAATCTCCATTGTCCCTTTCATGCTGCACACACATTCATTAACCTTTAGGCTTATAAATTTTCTTCATATAAATAATTTTTGAAATTTCACGTGCGAATGTTTTTCAAGTGAACGAGATAAACGAGTGAACGATTTGAGTCAAAAAATATGTGCAGAATAATAAAAATCATAGATGGTCAGTTGCAGTTATTATTCATAGAGACAAACTAATGATTAAAAAAAAATGGAGCCGAATATTTTTCGAAATAATCGAACTCTATTTTTCGAGAGCTCATTGATCTATTTGGGTCACATGTAAATAATTCGGATTAATGGTAGCGTGAGGTCGTAGAAAAGCACGTGGAGTCGCGCCTGCGTATAACTATATTATATAAATGGTGTTTGCATTTATTATAAATTCTATGTAGAGTGCAAAGGAATGAAGAAAAATATATACATACATAGGGGCGACAGATAAAGAGTAATTAAACAGATAACGAACAAAATATAATGAAAGGATCTTTGATTGTGTGTGAGACATTCTGGGAAATTCGCGATTACGGGTCAATTGGACACGTGGTTACGATTTCGAGACTATTTTGTTTGACTAATCAAGGATTTTATTTTCACTCGTCAAAAATGAAGTTTCTGTTTTTTCTTTTCAAATCATATTTCATATAAATCTAGAATTGTCGAAGAAAGCCTGCATATAATATAATAGAGTATAGCGAATGTATATTACGATTGTAATGAGAACAATTTTCTTAAAATACAGCTGACTTGGATAAAAGTTTATTATCACATTTTTTTTTTTGGCTAATTTTTTTTTCTCTCGATTTGACTCTCATGCTAGTTTTGTTCGATTTTATTATATTTATTCATATATTTTAGAATGAATTGGAAATTATTTAAACCACGCTCCTTCAAATCCTGCATCGCGAATTCCAGAGATAATGACTTTCGCGATTTAATAAACGCGAAAACGAAATTCGGTGTGGAGTTTAAAGTATGTAATCAGCAAATGTACTCGATGCATTGGGAATTTCTGTTGTGGTGTGTAGAAAGGACAATGACCTAGGCACGTAAACAAGTTATTCTTCAATCGAATCCCGGAAAAAATATCCCAGGGAAAAAATATTCCACACATTCAAAACGTGTTAAAACTCGCTCAATTTAATTATTTTTTTCGTTGTCTATTTTTTTAGGGGCTCTAATTTTCCTATGGTCTATCAAATTGGGTGGGTTTTAACACGTTTTGGGTGTGTGGGCTATTTTTTCCGAGGATATTTTTTCCGCCTACCTCTTCAATCAGAGACATTTTACTTTAGTCAGGGATTTTTATGTTTTTCCTTCGTTCTTAAGGGGTTTTTCTGTCTTGATTGGTGAATATTTTATTTCTCGATTCGGGAATATCTTTGCTTGACTCACGAAATCCATTTCGCATTCATTACTCAGAGTTGTCTATTTTTAATTCATGAATTCGTTTCGCGCGAAATCATCTATTGAGTTTTTCCTCCTCTATTTAAATTCTGTTATTATCGGTTCTTTCGCACGTCATCCAGGTACAATCGGCATTGAAATCCTTTTATTTATTTCCATTCAGGTACTCTTCATTGTGTTTTGAATTGTCATAGCACTGAGTAAATAATTATTTTGTCTTCTCTCTCTATAAAAATCCCTGCTCTAGGTTTTTCTTGTCCATGTTCATTTGAAAATTTGTAATGCAATTACTGTAAAGAGTGAGTGAGTGAGTGTAACATTTTTAATGCAACGTGTGTTTTGAAAAAGTCGAATGATACAAGATATGTGAGAGATGGTACGAATATTTAAATTTCTTAAGAGGTTAATATATACTACCACTATTCACACTTTTGTAAATCCCATTGTTCGATCTCAAAATTCAGAGATAGAATGAGCGAATCGATTTCTCAAAATTTACTTTGTTATTGAAAACATCAACTCATAGTCTATCACTTCGTATAAGAATTAGCACATCAAATCTTTGAGAAATATTTAAAGCTCAAAACTCAATGAACACTACTAACACTTGATGAATTTTCCGAAATTTTTCGAGGGAGTAATCTAATGTGATGAATGTTTTCAAATTGTCAATATTTTTTCAGCACATGCAGCAATTTGGATGGACTTGGTAGAATTTTCAACCTTGAAAGGCAATTAGTCTCCAAATTGGCCAGTAAATTGGTTCTTAAATTTAGTATTAACATTGAGAATTCCCAAGGCTTTCCGCTTTTTGATTCCACGCAATCGAGAAAAACATTTTGATCAAATTCTTTCTATTCTTATTCCTTCCAAATATTCGTTTTCTTAAAAGAAATATCTACATTTCGACTGCCGTATTCCTCCAGCAAAATTATCCAGAGACATCCTAATCCTGAGAATTGAATTGAAAATGCCACTTCTGTATAAATTTTCTTCCTAATTCCAATATAATATATAATCAAAAAATGATGCCAAAAATTGAAGAAAAATTATCAAGTGTCGGTATCCTCCCTCGATTTGTAAAATCTATAAAAATCCTCCGAAATATTCTGACTATGAAGAAAGATACTTGTAGATGACTTTCCCCCGAGAGGCAACGGATAACTTCCCCATCGGAGGATCCATATCTCCCCGATGGAGTGACGTTGTCACAAGTTAAATTGGAGATCAACGAACCTTGGAAGGATTCGGGTAGGGCTATAACTCAGGCATTAAATCGATGGGACAATCAGAATAAAGTTGACGTCATACGTGTAATCCGAGTATGGAGAGAAGAAATTGTCGGTGGTTCAACCCGGGGTAAACTTCCGCGGATAAAAAAGCCGTCCCGGAGGTTGTTTCATGCCGAACGTTAGCTCGATTTGCTCGTTCCACCTCTCTCTATCTCTCTTAACTTGTCGACTTATCCTTGTCTCTTCCCCCTCGGTCTCACCCGACCGATGAGGAGGATTCACATTGCACCGAGTGGAATGGGAAATGGCCAATGCTGATGCGATTACGAGCTTCGTTTCTTGCTCTCAACTGCCGCTCTCTACCCGTTGCACGCCTCGGAGACGTTTACAGTTAAGGACACGTTGTCCCACGCGTTCTCTCTCCCTCTTTATCCTTTACCCCCGCAATCAAATGAAATCTCACCGACAATTAAAAACCAAACCGTTGCTCACCCATGCCCATCATCAACTTATTCCGAGGAATTTTGAGTAATTAAAAACAATTGGCCCGCCAGTGTAATCACACGTGTTGATAAATTCCTGGCATTACTGAGTAAATTAAGAATTGTACGTGATGTGAGGATGTGGTAGGGATGTGGCTATTTTTTTATCTTCAAGAGGGGAACATTATCTAGGGGATATTCACTCAGCTTATCCGGCAGTAATAAATCGGATTTTCTCATTTTTAGAGACTTCCATGAGAAGTAAACAATGTCCGATCCTTTTTTGGTTCGTGTTAAGTAGAAAATTAGAATGGCGATTTTTAATATTTTATGCCAATGCCATTGTCAGAGATTTTTAACAAAAGTTTATACATAAATTCCGTGCTTCAGTTACCTATCACATCCTCAACATCCAATAATCGATATTGATAATAATCGATGAATACAACTACGGGAAAAAAATACTCTTCAGTCTAGTATAACTATTACTTGAAATACGTGTACGTATAAAAATCCCTAAATGGTTGACAACGCAATCTCACGATATTTTAAATATTCGATATTCGTTCGAAGCGGATCCTGTGTCATGCTCGATTACTTCCTGCTAACCGATCGACGTTTCCGCACCGATGAACGAAGATGCCGACCCTGTTTGTTCTCTTGAAAGAGTTTATTCTTAATTAGAACGTCCGAACTGAAAATTCTCGGAGAGTCACCCGTATCAGCGTGATTAATGAAGCCGTCATTACGCAGGGCATTCTCACGAATGACTTGTTTAAAATCGACCGAACAACCGTCCCAATACCTCAATATGAGAAAACAAAACCCAAGATAATTAAGAGCCCGAAAAAAAAATACTAAACGAGTTTCGGTTTGTTATTAATCCGTGGTGATTGAACTCTCGTAATGTGGAACAGACGATAAAATGAAAGGAAAAGTGCCGGCAGAGATAGCAAGAAAGAAGCTATTTGAAATTGTATATAAAAAATAATAATTTGTATATCATAGCATCGACAATATTATAAATGGAATTTACAGTTGTTTATTTTTCCATCCCCTTCACCAAAAACAACAGTACTTTTTTACGATGAATAATTTATTTCCATGTACTTGTAGCACGATTCCATTGTATTATTACATTCAAGAGATTGTAATAAACGATTGAATTGTCCCACCATGAACTATTTTCTTTCCCTTAATGACAAATAAAAAAAAATATAAAAAAACGCGGAAGTTATCGGTTTTCAAACTGTTCTGTCGATAAATATTGCTTCTTTAAAAAAAATAAATGTCTCAACATCTCAAAGAAGTTGTATTTCTTTTTAAATTTAACTATGAATTTAGACTGATTATTATGAATACCGAAAATTGATTAATTATCGGGAACTATTCTAGTTCGATGAAAAGAGGTGGAGATGGTGAACTGAGTATAGTGTGATAGAAGGAAAAAGAGTTCTTTTGCAGTCGACCTCGGTCTCCACCCCAGGAGTGTCGTTTGTGTGTGCTCGAATGATATGGCAAGTGTACAGAAATACAACAAGCCGTTGTATTTCTGTTGAGGATCGGTACAGAGAATTCTCATGGCAAGGCTTGCACATACGTATCGTACCGAGTCACTCCCAACCGTGACTTCTTATCATGACTACCATAAACTTAACGCCACAGCCGCATTGTCGTAAACGGATAACCCATAACGAGACGAACATATATAAAATGGCAATACCAAGAGTGTTAACCAAATGGTATGGTACGTACGTGTGACAGTACCAAAAGAATTAAGATACGCTGAATCTTGTTATTCTCGATCGTCTGGAGATCACGAGATGCAATATATCGTTCAACATGACGTTATGAGTTATAATGTGACTTAAAAAATTTATTCCAAATAAATTACTTACCTCTGTGATTATCCAATTACTTACGATACTCTGGATGCCACATGCGTCCATTAATGTTAGTTATTGCACTGTGAGAAAAACAAATTGCACAAGTAAGCCTCACTTCCATCGCAAAACTTGTTCCCTAATAATTATCAAGTCTCTGATATTTTGAGTTATATGCTGTGCAATCCAAGTGAATAATTATTGTTTTTAATTATTTAACTTGCATAAAGTGATGTGTCAATTCCTCCTTTCGCCGTTTTCAATTGAGAGTAGGACAGATAAAAACAGATAAAACTCGTGTACAGCGTTATCGCGTGTGCTTAAAGCCTTGTACTTGATTTTAAAATTCTGATTGTCAGGTGAAGGTTACAGAAATTCCACGAGAATTTAATTCGGTGGTTTATGATGATTACCCGGTACACGATCGTTGCAAACCATGAAACATACCGGAAAATCAATGTTACGCTGTAATCGCTGAACAAACCAGAATAGCGAAGAGAAAAGCATGCAAATCCCTCAATCGCATAATCCAATGATGCCATAATTTTACCTTGTAGCGATGAAAGAAGTGTTTTAATCGTAATCTCCAGGTGGACAAGACGTGGTGTATTCCTTTCCAATTGAATTTTTGAGGTTGACGATAAGACGATGAGACACCGAATCACATTATCACTATTCAAATTATATCAACACCATTCAAATACTCAAACTATTGAAACAAAATTTTTCCGTTGTTTTCAGGGATTTGTCGGACTTTGGGGATTTCTTTTTGCGATTAAATTGGACAAAGGAATGGTTATTGTTTGTGATGGCGGTTAAAATGTACCGTGAAGAGTGTAAACGGCATTTGTTTTTGTGAATTATTGGGGGGCAATGATTGGTTGTTGCGGTGTATGCACAGAGGGCGCCATTAGCGCACCTCAAGTGTATGACGCGGGCGCGCCGCCAGTTTGGCGTACGACATCGCAGCTTTCAGACGTGTTCGAACCTGTCTTTTCGTGTTTACGTGTACTTCCATCCTCGTAATCTTTATTTACAGTGCGGTTAATCCTTTTTAAAAAAACGTGTTCTCGGAGTGTTAAGTGGTGTCATTTGTACATAAATAGTGATTCGTATTCAACGGGATATCGCGTCGTTCAATTGTCACCAACAAAATTTGCTTTGTTGTTATTATTTCTATCGCGCAAACGTTTTCCCCGGGTTGTGCCAAGGAGAAGGTGATTTAGCTGAGTCCACGTTCCTGGCTCTCTTCTGATCGATTGATTGATTCATTAATGTGAGTAAATGATATTTTCTATTGCGCCATTCAAATCGAGTTCTCGGAATTTCTCGATTTCTATGATCTTTTGTTAGTTCCGGCGCCGGTCGCGTTAGGCCGATGAGTCTTCAGTTGGGGACGCCGGGGAAAGATAGGATTAGAAATAAAAATTTTCCATTTTTAAGTCGTCAATGATTTTAAGTTATTGTCGTGTTTCAAATGGAATTCAATCGTGTTATTGACACTCGCGCATTTGAAAGTTCTTTCGTGATAATTTCGGAGTAAAATGAATTTTCAACGCCGTACTCTTTATCTCCCTGCATTCATTCATGCATTTACAAACATCTTTATGTATATCCCCATTATTTATTTTTCTTTTATCAGTGGAATCGTCTTTAAAGCTGTAGAACAGAGCCATGACGGTTTAGGGGAAAGGAGGGGGAAATTCAAATACAGCTATAAAAGTTCAATATGAAAAGTCAATGTTCGTCTTCATGATTTTTTTGAAGTCCATTATCATATTTGAATTTCCTTCTCGTACGTGAGAAAGACTTGCAATTCTCTCGCGACTAAAGATGAATAAATACCGATTTAGATTCGACAACAGGTTTTTACCCATCGATGATTGCTGGTTTATGTAATCCCCAGGTTAAAGATTGTGACCTGGCAGTTTAGTTATTTTTTCTTTCTTCTCAAATGCAAACGCATTTCCCTGTCCACCATTGAGAGATGCCAGTGTACACGTGTTTATTGTTGGTTTTATCCTTTTGTTTGTCACCTGCGAGAAAACCGTGAAGTAAATTATGTGAGAATGAAAACCGCAGGGTGAATGTTCTGACTTTTTGTCTAGACTCGCACAGGCGATACAGCATGAAAGCTCTCTTCCCCTTTAGCATATGCTAAAAGTACTTAAAAAATGGAGAAAAGACATGACGAGAAGAATGAGAATTGTCGGAGTTACTTTGGTACTCGCAGTGGGGGGTATTTTCATGAAATTGAGTGTAAACCGCCGGTTATTTGCATGCTATTCCTTTTGAGATTAAGGACCCAAGTACTTGGGCAATTTTTTTTGGTCACGCATCTTTCATGCAGGCTTGAGATTACACCGATATTAACTCATGACTACATTGTAGAGAAATGCTTTTTAGAGAGAAAAGTTTGAACAGTCGTATGGGATATTTCACACTTGAGAGTTGAAAAAAATTGGAAAATCACGTGCATTAATATACTCCTTTTACATTTTTCATTTTATAATTCGTACAATCGAATCAAGTATAAAATATCCTTGACTCAGATTTATATATTTTTTCAATGAAAGATCATTTTGACGTTGCACGGTATTTAATCGAGGAGTAGATGCTGCGTAAAGGCAGTCAAGTCATTCCGTCATCATTTTTCCTGCCATAGAAAAATGGAATTATCAAAATCGATTAGACTACACCTGAGGGCCTGTAGGAAGAGGGGACTCGCCCAAGGCCGGTGAAACACGAAAGTATCTTTTGTGCACTGTGAGATGACTGGGCCTGTCCTCTCCCCTCAGATCCTTACACAAACACACACATATACATGAATGACTAATCAATCATCTTTTACATTGAGTGGATATAACTCATCGTGTCAGGAGTGGAAAACTCGTTTGCTACTCGCCTGAGACATTGTTTAGTGTATCAAGTGATCATCACTTGGAGAATGAAGTCTCGAAGATTCTCACTCATTCCCTAAGGATATCCATAGAGTTCCTTCCAATGACAGTTTTTTAAAATTCAATTTAGCAATCTTCAACGCTGAATATCTCTCGATAGAACGATGATATAGAAAAAAATTTTCATTCGAAATATTTTCGAGTTTTTCACGATGACGTCGTGGTGCTTCGGTTTCGTCTTACGATCTTACACTTACGCTCATTCGAGATGTTTCGAGATCGATTTCCTCCCTCGTTTTTATATTAGGATTTCAAATGAATCTCATTCATTTACACCGCTTAAAATCACAACTGAACATAGCACGAATTTTTAATTCTCTTCTAATAATGTAGTCGACACTCGCCGAGTTGTTTATTTGTTACTCGTTGTATCTCAGCACAGAACGTGTCATAGCTTTTGCATACGAGTCTAACGACATATTTGCGTTACATTCTTCCTATGGCGATGTATTTTTTTTTCTTCTCTATTTACATCTGGTTGGGCGCGACTTGCGCACTGAATATGTATACCCGTTAAGGCACTCGGCTGTGCAACGAGAGGCATTTCAAAGGGTTCATTTCTGAACTATTATAAGTACGGTGGTGTGTACGTACACGCGAAGGGATATATTCAGTAAGAATTACGGAAATGACAATTCACTCACCAATTGCATCGACAAAGATTATGCGAAATTTAAGTAATTCCTAAATAAAAATCAAGTTCACATATTAACATTACGGCACGCTCCATTAAAAAATCGCCATTTATTTCTGCTAACAAATGGCTATTAACAATTTCTGAATATTTCCACGATTCCATAATACTGGAAATTACGGGATGCTATATGCATTTTGAAAAGCTTTTATTGATATTTTCCATAGTGAGAACTTTTGTCGACATGACGTAAATTCAATTGGGAATTTTCATTTTATTATTTAATTATTCCATTAGCGATCGTTGGAGGGCAATGGAGGGAGTGGATTCAGTAGAAATCTGATGATGTAAATAGTGGAATAAAATACAAAGGGAGGGAAGTATAGAGAGGGCTGTGTAAGGGTTATGAGAGTTCATTGTGAGTGAGCACTGCATGCATATATCTGCCGCATATTCCTGTGCTTGGGATCATTTAGAATTGCAATTGGGTTCAAACAATTGCGGGAAGGGGTTCTCAATGTTGCTCGAGGCCTTCTATTTTTCCATCCCTCTTTGACCAATAAAACTCCATCGCTTTCGGCTGCTAAAATCAATATGGTTTTATCCTTTATTTTTCTCCTCGGGGTAGAATTTTTCGTAATGGCAGCATTGGTTATTGCTTTGCAACTGACTACTCAGAAACGATTATTTTTTATGACAATATTTTTATTATGTGTTGTAACACGTGATCGAAATGTCGGAGGAACGTTCTGTCGAAATTATTACTGCTTTCATTTTTAATACAAATAGACACCTGTGTAAAAACATTTGTTTTGATGATCGATTATTCGCACGAAAAAATTTACACGTAAATAACAATTTTATGCTCGTCAATTATGAGATGAGAAGTGTAAATTACAATTGGAAACTCATAAATTACGAGGTTTGAACGAATTTTTACGAGTGTGGAATTGTAATTAACGGTTAGATTTTTTAATGTGTACAAGATTGAGAATTGACAGGTAATCTGAAGAGTTTGACACCTTGATACATAGCATCAACGTTGAAACCTCATAATTTATGACTTTAAAATGATAATTTACGTATCACAAATTGTATTTTGCGGTCATATTTTCCTGTGTATTCAAAACAAAATGGTGAAATGGTTATCACACGTGGATATAGAAGTTGATAATGTGAGTTTCATAATAAATGAAACTATCATCCACTCTATTTTGGCGTGAAGCTGAAAGGCTTTGTTGAATGTTTAATGATTTGGGTAGGAAAGTGGAAAGTTGAGGCATGATCGATCGAGGAAAGCTTACATGTGCGCGTCATACTGCAGAGGATGTTGGATACCTAGTGCCTACATGAAACACGAATCAATGCCACCAGGGAAGACTGCAGAAGCCAGCAATGGAATCGATACTCTAGTAGCTTCAACTAATGGGCGTAGGTTGGTCACATCACTAACGGTCTCACTTCCCTCGTCTCCACATTTGACATCTTGCATACCATGTGCCGATGACTTTTCCTCCATACTCAGTAATTATTCTCAGTCTATACATGCCATCCAGCATTCCAATATTTAATTACAACAATTTTGATGCTAAGTCTCCAAGTGTCAATGTTTTCAAATTACTTGTCAATTGCCCTTGCACAAGAAATACATACAAAAAAAAGTTAAAAATAAATTACTAGCTGCAAATTTGAATATCTTCTAACAGTTGACATTATAGTCTTGTTTTGACAATCGTGAGACGAGGAAATGTGGATGATCCCATCGGAATATATTGTGGCTCTCGGGTATTTGTTTTGATTTTCGTATTCACGTTGTAGTATTTCATTGAATTGGCAACAAATGGGCAAAGGTAGAAGTTCAATGGATAGCTAGGGTAGACTGTTGATTTTCTTCGTTTGGCAAGTGTTCATGCGCCGGGGGGAGAATTCGTTGGTTACACTGGGGTCGTTGGACGATTCTGGGGTAAATTTATGTGCGACGGACAATTTTACTTCCGTCGAACGTCGCAACTAGGGACTAGCATAAACACTTTACCACCCTCTCTTTTTATTTGCCTTTGGCCATCCCCTCCATACCAAAATCAATACTTTTTCATTGTCCTATACGTATCCTCGTGAGCGACGCCAATATTGTTTTTCAATTGAAGAAGACTAGGGCAATATGGATACCCAGATCGAATAAAGTCACTTTATGCAAAAAACATATGTGCAGATAATCATG